AAGCTCTTCATTCTGAACGTAATTATCTTCGCATTCAAGTATGTAAATCCCTCTCTCCTTATCTTATGTTTTGTGTCTATGCGCACACATTTGTATAAATTAATGTGCATGTACATGCATACACCGATAGCTGAAATGTGTTCATATGAATACAGTTCACAAAAACACAAGTGTATAGACGAATCCATACATGTAGATAGCCCTATATCGATCTCCTTGCTATTATAATGTTGCTGTCATTTTTGTGCTTAGGATGATACATTAACTGGCCATGCATCCTCTGTTGACATCGCAACCAAAGAAAATCTGGAAAATCTTGTGATGATCGGTAGTGATCTCCTGAAAAAACCAGTCTCTAGGTTAAATATGGAGACTGGTCTGTTTGAACCAGTAGAAGGTGAAGGAACTAATGAGCAAGCATTAACCAGGTAACCATTTCCTTTCTCTTGGTTTTTCCTATTGATATTTAGATGTCAAGTCATCCCAATCACATTAAACATTCATGACAAAACCTTGGTGTATATTTCTATATTCAGACATGAAATTGTGAATGGTATGTTTCCCATTGTTTCTTCGTATTCCAAATGTGAAAAACTGTTATAGAAACCAAACATATAATGCCCTTAATTATTAGGATTTGTTTCTTATTTTCTGCATTTTTGTATTTGTCCTCAACAAAAAAAAAAGTTTCTCCGAGGGAATCAACGCAACCAATCGTTTTAATGTTTAGAAAATCCCAAAAGAAAAAAACACCAAACTCTTATGAACTTCTAAATATGCTCCTTGTGTAATTGAGCTTTGTTTTTCTTTTACGATATAAAATCCCTAGCAAAAAATATCAGTTACAATAATGGTTTTTCTGATAGTGTCTTGATATCTTCTTGTAGGTTTGCTAAGTTGCTGTCGGATGAGAGAAGACTCCGTATGCAACGATCACCCCACAGCCCCTCCATCGAATAATACATCATGCCATTGTTAAAAAAAAGAAAAGAAAAAGTATCTATTTTAGTTTTTTATTCATTGTAATGCAATGGCAAAGGGCATATTAGTCAGAGTATGCATGTCTATTCTTTTATGCTGGTTATTTGTAAGTTCATATTATTCATTATATTGGTTGTATGTAGGCTAAGCAGTCATGACAAGTCTGGACTGATTATGTATGTATGTTTTATTTAAACTAGTAATAGTATGCAATATGTTTTTATTCCTTGTAATTATTTGTCTTGTGAATGGAGACTAAACATGACAATGTTTGCTACTGAAAATAGAGTCATTTACGTATGGACCCTAAATTTTTTCTAAAATACGAAATGCTCTGTTTATAGGCAGAAATTACAAAGAATATCAGTCAATCTATGTTTTTATATTTTACGAAATGCTCCATTTATAGGCAGAAATTACAAAGAATATCGGTCAATCTATGTTTTATATTTTTTCGAAAATTGCCCCTCGGTCCAAGGATCCTCCGACAGAATTTTAAATTTTTTTTAAGTGTTTTTGCTAGTTTTAATTTTAATTTTAGTTTCCGTACTAATGAAAAACATAAAAAAAGAAAAAAAGTTAAAATTAGGTCTAAGGATGGGATCATTTTGTAATTTTTACCTATAGAGAAAAAAGAAAAAAAAATGCGGTTGACCGACATGCTTTATAATTTTTACTTCTAAACGAAGCATTTTGTATTTTAAAAATTTTTTTAGGATCTGTACATTAATTACTCTTGAAAATATATAGCGGGGAAAATTAATGCCTCACAAAGTTGAAATGGTAGTATCCCTACACCTAGTCATCCCATTGTGATTTCCATTCTTATCACTAACACCACCAAATTACCACCTTAAAAAAATCTAACTCCTAATCTACTTGAAAAAAGGGGTAGGGGCCTATCTTCCTCACTAAATTACCTAAAAAAAGAACAGCTTCAGCCCATAAGGTTTTTGGAATTGAGGATGACATGAGTAGAGCTCGTGCAGTTTCTAGAATGTGACGGTTTTGACGCTCAGCAACACTACTCTGCTGAGGTGTATAGTGTCACGGCCTTACTGTCCCAGCCGGACCCACAAAGGGCTAGGCCTAGGCCAGCAGAAGGACCAAATGGCGTTGGGTCATGACCATAGGTAGCAAGTGCCACTCAGTTTGGAGAGCACTCAATACTTTGACAAAGAAGGAATTACAAGTATCAAAGCCTGCCACAAAAGAAACAAAAAATGAAACACAATATACATAACCATAGTCAGTGGGACAAATAAGTCCCGAAATATATATAACAATACAAAATAGTACATATAGGTCCAAGGCACAAAAAACTCAACATAAAGACATACTACCAAATCAAAATGGACTCTATGGTTGACTGCCAACCAAAACATATATTGGAAAATGAAGCTTCAACAGTATGGTTATAAGGGACCCCAAGCGTGACCACCAGGATATGTCACTCCAATCACGCTGGCTATCACTCTATATGGAAGAAAAGTTTAAAAGAATGAGCTGTAAAGCCAACTAAATAAGATCTAGATGCCATGCTTTCATTCTTACAAATATTATATATGCAAGTCTTACAAAACATACAGTCATGTGTCAAATTCATATTTAAACAAACGTGTCATGCATGGTATGTTTCATGGTGGAATAATAACTAATTATATTAATCATATATGATTGTAACAAGAAGTCGATCAAATCATTTAGGCACGAGCATCATAACAGATCAAAACAATTAGGCATGTATGTGATAAGCATAATCAAGATCAAGAGATACCAACTAACTCCTGAAGTAGAATCCTCACCCATCATGACAATTAAATCTTGATACGTAGAGCCTCTACCATCACAATCAAGAAAGAAACATCACCAATGGGTAAATCCGTTGCGTGGTGTCTCCCACATGCATATGATCCCCAATGCATGTTGGGGCTTTTGATAGGCAGTGACCTTGGCCCTCTCTTATACACGTTCCCCAATGCACTTTGGGGCTTTTGATAGGCACTAGCCTTGGCCCTCTCTTGTGCCCTTCTGACGAGAGAGCATTACATTGCCAAAGGGGTCCCAATGAGTAGTGCCTCATATAAGTTTGGGGGAGCGACCACCCAAACACACACACTCCTAACTCTCATCTTATCATAGAGAGTATGGAAAGATCATAGTTGCCGACACAAATATCTCATTAGATCATAATAGAACTTTGTCTCCATGGTTACGTATCTTCTCGAAAGCATATTACCATGTACACATATCTTATCAGAAGCATGTTACCATGAACATATATCTTATTAAAAGTATGTTACCATGCACACATATCTTGTCAGAAGCATGTTACCATGCACACATATCTTATCAGAAGCATGTTACCATGCACACATATCTTGTCAGAAGCATGCCACCATGCACACATATCTTATCAGAAGCATGTCATCATGCACATATATCTTATCAAAAGCATATCATCATGCACGGATCATATAACAAAACCATGTCTCCATGCACACGCATCATATTTGAAGCATGTCGTACATATCACAAAAAAAAAAAAAAACATCATCATGTTCAGAGCATGCTATATATATAATCACAAAAAAACT